TCTAAGAATGTCGATATGTGCATCTTGGTTATCCGATATTTCACTGTTAATTAAGCGTAAACATTGAAAGCATTTACGAAATAAAACATGGCAATAAAGAAATCTGTACTTTGGTAATAAGCAGTTTCAATTACCGTGTCAATATCCTTTCTTTTAACAGAAATATGCATTCTGTCTTATACTATTTGTAATTGTATTTCTCCATTTCTACGATGATTTGTATGCGTCGGGTAACAATGTATTCTTTTAAATAATATGTATAACTATTGGCTATAAATATATACTAAGAGCATATTACCACAGACGACGTACAGCCCGCAGACCAATAGGAAACGTTTTCTCTTTATCCTTCTCGCACACTGATGCTATCCTTGTCTAATACCTCTGTTCACATTCTGTGTTCCTAGTAACGAGTCGTTAGTTCGAGCAGCCAACCACGAGATGGCGTTAGTTTGCTTTTGAATGTAGCGGATTTCTACAAGACATGCTCTACTTTGTTTATTTAAATGGGAGGTAGGAAACGGGAGGTTTTCTCTTCCTACGTAGATTTTACCGCACGAGTGCTTTCACAATAATTTAAATATATTTTTAACAAATAACTTTTTAGCCAATGGTTAACAACAATATAAATACAAAATATTCTTTTTCTTCGACTCTTGCTTTGACACTTTACCCTTTACACCATAGAGGTTTCTGCTCGACTGCCCTTGCACCGATGGTCACTGTATCCTGAAACATAAAAAAGATAGCGCTACAGGATTTCTCCCGCACGCGCTCCTACGCTTTTCGCCGGATCTTCATAGGCGAAAGCGGTCTCTTTCTTCCAGCTTTTTGCCGGATGTCGTTGTCGGCACATGAAAGTTTTCTATCTTTCGTAGTAAGCATGACTAAATATATGGCATTGCGTGGTAGAACTGTTCACGATATTTTGACACCAGTAGAATACGCGCATTGGATGAATCATCTATTAATAAACAATTACGTTACTTTCTTATTAAATTTCACAGTTACGTTTAATTCTAATTCCAAAAAGTACTAATGTTGTAATCTTATTCTATGCTCAATCGGTAACGTTGGGAGCGACACGGAAATAGTAAAAGTCAGTATGTTAATTACCAACCTATCTACACTAAATATACGTCGCAATCGCTTCAATGTGAATTACTTGACGGTTGGTGTTAGAATGATTTCTGTGCATCTCGCTTGCGCATCGTACGCCATTTCACATAGTACCACCGTGCGTTTTTTAGTTCTAGGGTTTCGGCAAAGATCGATAAGACTCACTTTCTGTAAATATGCACATATGCAGTGGTAGTGTAGTCTACTGTATTTATCACTAGGTTTTTTGTTATACCGCGTTCATTTAAATTATTCAAAACTTATATAAATCTTGGAAAACTAATCGAAGTATCGAGAATTTCTGTTTGAACACACCATTTACAATATTAAGATATTTGGCATAAAATAGAGAATATTACTATATATACATAT